GCTATGAAGTACTCCTTACAGCAAAACTTTTTGTAACTATGTATTAACTAAGTGTTCTTTGTTTCCCTTAGTATCTTTTCAAAAAGGCTGCTACATTGGACAAGAACTTACTGCAAGGACACATCATACTGGGGTTATCAGGAAAAGAATTATGCCATTCACTTTAGATAATCCTGAGTCCATCATCAAGTTAGAACAGGGTACTTCAATCAAGACATCAAATGGCAAGACATCAGGAAAGCTTTGTGTTATTTATGGACATTATGGCCTTGCTATAATGAGGATGGCCATGGTTTCTAAAGACAAGCAATATATTCAAGACAATGAAGGAAAAGATGTGGAAGTGTGTCCTTATATACCARAATGGTGGCCAAAAGATGAAAACTAACAAAGAAAAGGTGACCAAACGTTGGAATGGTTTGGAAAAGTGCAAAAATGAAATCGGATAAGATATTTTAACCAAAATGCCAAAGCTAGAAACTGCAAATGGTGTTTGGTCATAATCAGTCCACACACTTCAAACAAAACAGAAAAAAATATTTAAATTAGTTGAAAGTGCAAAGGATGACATTGATTGTTCCAATGGAAAAAATAATTACTTTTTTATTCTTCAGACTTAYTATTTAGAAATTGCAAACAGATTAAAAACATAAAATTGATGTTTTCAAGAGCTGAAAGAACCAATAAAACATTGAAGTTATGTCAGAGGTATTTTGTCTGGTTTATTGTTATTTAAAAATTCTAATAAAATAGATTTACAAGCAGTTTTCAATACCAGAGCTTTTCAAGGATTTCAACTAGTAGCATAAACCCTGCAAATACCATTACAAGTTACAGTAAAAAGTTAGCAGAGTTTGGTTGTCATGGTTATTTGAGGTGCACTCTACTGAGAACCTTGTAAAACGACTGTACAAATTTTCTTCTGTTTTTGTTTTTTATTTGATACACTTAATGAATTATATACTGTTTGAATTTTATGTGCAGTAAAAACATCATGTTTGCCATTTCACAGCTCCTTTGTTTGTGATTTGAATTATCTTGAGTGATCGCAAAACCTGAAAAAGCCAAACCATTATATTATTCTTCCAAARAAGTAATTGTTACAGATGAAACTTATTGAAATGTTATGATATTTTTTAAAGTCATCATCAATTGATTAATAAGGCAACAGAGGCATAAAAGGTACAAGGCTTTTAAAAGTATCATTGACAATTTGGGCACAGATTTAAAAAAAACTTATTGATAATTTTTAACAAAARGTTAAGACTGTAAATTCTACCTTGAGTTTAGCTTGTCCTGTAGCTCCTGTAATTTTCAGACCCATCTCAGCCATATCACTTATAGTTAATGGTGAACTGTGAATGATTATTTGATAATAATTATTCTATTATTTTAATATTATCATGTAGCCTAAGAATGGTAATTTAACAGTTATTGCACAATTCACAAAGAAAATATATGTACCTTTTCTTGTTTGCTTTAAAGTGGTTGAARATAACTTCATGGACCTGCAAATTTATAGATTCAAAGCATGTTATCATCACTAATGTAGAATCAATTYTAAAATTAAAGGACTTGTACCTTATTGACAGCTTCTAACTGTACTCTTCCTTTGACAAGTGCTGACACACTATCAAATTCACATTTTGTCACAGGTATAAATTCCTTTAATCTTTTCCTGGATTCTGTTTTGTCTTCTGTTTGATCTGAAACATATGCATTATGTTATCGCCATTAACATTGCTGTCAATCAGAAACTGGGTTCATATCAAACCAAGTGKTCAGACATGCATTACCTGCATCGATAATACTTGCATCATTGAATTGTGACTGTGAGTTCTCTTTGTCTTCTTCCATGTCTTCTTGGCTGCACGATGAACCTTCAGGACTGTGAACACCTAGTAAAACCAAATAGAACAAGCCTGCTCACACACAAGCAAATAGAAACTACYGTTGAGAGTTTTTCCATAATGTCAGTGTGCAAAGAATTTACACTCTAGAGCAGTTCATATGCTGTATAATATCACTCGATTGCACATTTTCAAACATTTTATGAAGCTTAACTGTCATCCCACAATACATTATTTTTTTCATTTTCACCTGGATAACGATGTAGATGTAAAAACTCTTCTATTGCTGTTTTTTCTGAAACCTGATCAACCAAACATTAAATTCTGTACAAACCTTGAAAATGTAAAGTAAAAGTTAGGAGGTTTTTACAAGTATAAAGTGGAGACTAGTTGGCAAAAGCTAAGGCTATGGTGATCTTATAATATTTTATTTAAACAAATATTTTGTTGTTTTATGTCAAAAAAGTTATTTAAAAAATCTTTGTTGGTGGTATTTTTCATATTTACAAGTAGTTTGGTCAATCAAGCAATGCTTAACACTGCTTATTGGAATAGTTAAGATCTTGAAGATGGTGAATTGATTGTAAATTGATAACAATTTATAATGACCTGACAGTATAAATATTTTCATGGTTTACCTTTGAGCCAGTCTTTTGTTGGAGGTTCTGTAGGTTATCTTGAGTTAGCAGAAGACAGTCAACCAAGGATGCTTGTACTTTCTGTTAAAGGAAAAAAAAAGACAGAAGAAACAGAAGAAGAAGTTAGCATTGATAGTTGGYTGGGTCAGGTCGCAGTGCCAAAGAACATTGTTGGTAATTGGTTGGCTCAACACAGAGTGACTCTAAAGAAYGAGGAATAAACAATAGAGCCTATTGTTCTAGCCAACCAATCACAATGGCTTTTATTTAGAGCTGCGAGACCTCTGAGTTGGTTTCAAAACTAGTTTGGTAGGCATATTTTGTGGACTATTATTTCACCTGCTGTTCTGCACACACAGTTTCAGCCTGGCTTGTAAGATTATGGAATTCTTCTCTTGCTTTTTTTATTCTTTCAAAAATCTTCACTGGATTGAGCTGCATGGTCAAACATTATCATTAGCTTAGGCACTGTTTGTTAATTGTCAAGAGGGGGTGTTATGTTCAGCAAGTCAAAAATGTACCCTCCCTAAAAAAAAAGAAAAACAAACAAACAAACGAAGTGTATCCCACTATGTTTCCATGACAAAAATTGCACCCATTCCTAATAATTTTGCCGAAGAAAATAAAATGTCTATTAAGCTTAATAGTTTGAAAAATGTATCCCCCGGCCCCCTGTTCATGCCCTGTTTAATTTTTAGCACAATTAACGAATAGTCCCTTATACAAATGTGGAATCAAGTCCATACCAAAAAACAAAAAACAAAAGGTGCCAACAGTCATTCTCCAACATGTCTGAAAGTTAAAGAATAATACCTGCTCTGCATTTTGTTTAGAAAACTGTTGTGTAAACTGCGAGTCCAATCGTAAGGAAACATAATTCAAATCAGATTCTGCTTTTTGAACCTAAAAACAAGTAAACCATCAGTCATTTATCAGTTACCACGTTATAGAAGTTCAGTTTTATTTTCATCAGTTGTCTTTTTTTAAAAGTCTTGATTTTCGAAAGGAAAAGTTTTGACTTTTTGTATTTGGCGCCAAAACAAACCACATTCAAATTATGGAAATATTCTCTATATTATCGCATTTTTATCGYATTTTAACAAACAAGTTACAAATTAAAGCTTAATATCATATTTTTGGTAATGCAAAAGTAGCATAAGACCCATAAAAGAGATAAAAACATACTTACTAACGCTTCCAATTTATCAACAACCGACTCCATTTTGTTTTGATCCAGTCCTCTTTCACTGCCGCTCTAAAAAAACACAGGGATACCACAATTCTTTACATCCATAAGTATGCGCGATCGCTCCTCGTTCTCAAACGACTGGAAGCACTAATGACCGCCGGTATAATCATATCACACTTATGAATATATATATATTTCGTTCTTAAACGAGTCAAGGCAATGACGACCGCCGGTACAGTATCCGATTAAATGGATGTAAAGTGGACGGGTATT